TCCCACCCATATCTAGTTGTATTGCTAACTTTGTGTTTCACAGCCTCTGAAGAGAAAAACAACCACCAAAGAACAAGACATGCTTTATGGAGGCAAAATATTTTGAATCTCACTCCATTAGCCAATGCTTTTATTTCATCTGTTCTAATGACTTTTCAGCTTACTGAGCCAGTAATCTACCGTATGGAAAATAGATCCAGAGATTTTCACCATAATGATTCTAAATTCACAGATCTCTGTGAAGATGATCTGTTCTGGGTTTGTATGACGCCAGCTCCAAAGGCACCTCAGTCGGATCAGCTCCTGCTGCTCTGAGAGTTGTTGGATTCCTTGGGAATGTGGCAGGGCCCAGGCTTTCTGAGACTGGATAAAGTGTGAGAGTATTGCATGTGTAAAGTGTGTGTATGTGCACGTAAAAAGCCCCAGCATTTGTAATGAATAATGCAATTATTACCGGACAAATCCTGCAGTACATGCATAGGAGAAGTTCCTAGTGAAATTGATGGAAATAGCAATTGAAGTTCTCATCAAGTAAAAACATGCAATTAAGAACTAGCATTTCTTTGTTGATTTGGAAGACAAATACAACTTGATTCATCCTGAAATCATCTTTAAATATTAATCAGTGTCAGTGGTCACATCTGAGTGCAGTCACATTGGAGAGGAGTAAAGCACTCCTCTAGCAGCACAGCAAGACTCTTCACGCTGGGAATAGAACTCAGGGAACCTCTCAGCAAGCCGAAAATGTTACCTTTTTCCTTTCATCCAAAGGCAGAGAGAGCGGATATTTACGTCCTTACAAGTTTCAGATTGATTTTCATTCTTACGGAAAACACTTGGACTTTAACAGCAAAACGTCTCAGAATATTCTTTTATTTTATTTTTATTTTTGATTTCTCTAACAGTTGAGGGCTTGCTTAATGTACGAATAGCACACTGCCAGAATGCCTCAGAAGCATCCTCATCAATTTAAGGATTCAGTGCTGATGTTTAAACTCCTGTGTATGATCAGCCTTGCAATCTTTGGTTTCAGATCAGAGAGTGTTAGACCTTTCAAGGCAGCACCTATTTTTTTTTCTTCATGGTCAAGCATTCACTGAAGTTTTGATACTTCAGATCTCAACCCAAAGCTGATTAAGTGTGTAGAATTAAAAGGATGGCAAATGGTGAGTGATAGCAGAGAGATACCTTAGGTATAGCACAGCTCCAGATCAGAAGTCCGTAAGATAGTTGGAAAAGTAATAATATGATCAGGAGGACCTATCAAAATAATTTCACAGCCAGACGCCACAGCAGGTTCTGGAAACAGTATATGAACATCACCAGAGAGATTAAGCAGGTCCCTAAGGGTAAAGAGAAGTGCTCTTCCTTCTCCTCCTGTTCAGAATGCTGTCTATGCAGCATCCTTCTGCTCTCTGGACACCAACGGGGACGGCAGAGCCCCGGCTCCTGGCTCACAGGATAGCACCACAAGTCCTGATGAAGCTTTTGGGACAGCTGTCTTTTCTCTGTGGCCGTTTCTCAGGGTGTGCTATGGCTGTGCCATCGCGTTACAACAAACCAGGAAGTTCCTGAGGGGTTGAACAAGGGTTAACGTAGCGCATTCTCTTCTTACTAAAATGATGTCATTTCCCTCCCCTTTCCTGAAAGTATCTCTTCCTTGGTTGTTTACATACTAAAGTTAATTTAAAATTTATATTATAAATCTGAATACTTTAAAAAACAAAACGCATTTTCATATCTGAAGACATTTATATACGTTTAGATTAAACGTATGGTGTTTCAGTGCTACAAAAAAGCATTGTGGTTTTTTTTTGCCACAAACTACCCTTCTCTCATTTTTCATACTTTCTCCAGAAGAATAAAGATTAAGAAAACAGAAGTACCAATACATTGTAGAAATTGTCCCAACGAGTTTCTAATCCAGTGTCAGTTACACAGGACTGATAAGTAAAGGAAGTTCAACCAGACAGTTTAATCCTCCAATTTCCTGTCTTCTAATCAGCCACTGACTCCTCTGGCTTTAAATTAGAAACATCCATGGCAATATTCAGGACAGGTGAAGGAAAAAAGAGTGGAAAACAACTAGGGCAAATGTTTGTAGGCATAAGGAGGACATATACAGAGAACGAAGATGTTATGAAGTAGTGAAAGTGTGTAGAATGAAGCACTGAACGTACACTAAAGTTATATATGGAATTTAGCAACTCTGACAGGGAAGGAATAATTTTAATTAAAGCATTTATACAGTGGTTGAGCAGTGTGTGAGCATACAAGAATTAATGCATAAAACAAGGAAAATCCATGCTATAATGCTGCACTTTGGTGCACTTTGTTATTTTGATAGAGGCAGGTCCAGGATAATAATAAATACAAGTATGCTTTTTTAATATACCGTAAATGATAAGCACAAATCAGCAAAGCCACAAACAGCACAACAGCACGAGGTGATTATCATGATAAACTTCTATGAGAGTATGTAAATGCATTCATGTATAGATGTGCTGATTTAAATAATAAATGCTACTTTTGAGTGTTTCGTGCTTCTGGTCTTTCTTAGCTTTCATAGGACTAACTAGCCTTCCATATGACAAACTTGAGTATTTATTAGATGTGCCATTATTTTTAATCTCATTTGTAATAAAATTTATAGTGAGGATTCCATTAGTTCTTAATTGAGAGAAACGCCACGAACAGTTTGGAATTGCTCATGACCCGAACAAGTTCAGTTATTCCTCTAAATATTTTGCACGGCGGCGTGAAAGAAAAAAAGTGATTTCAGAGAAAAGAATGATATAAGGTTAAAAACGTTCAAACAAAATGACCACAACAAGTCCAGCCCTGTATCTTTAATAAACTATCTTTTAACTTAGGGCATTTAATTAAAATAAAGGTCTATATACTAAAATGTGGATTGATAGTTTGATAATAGAACTTGAAAAGAGTTATTTTGGCAAATGACTGAAAGATCTGCTTTAATGGTCATGTTCAGTAACAGCAGTTTGCATGCTAACTCATACATGGAGTCATCTGAAATACCTTCTTATTTATTAATAAACTTTTTTTCTTTTTTCTTTTTTTTTTTTGGCAGATAGTTCCACAACAGAAAGCAGTTTGGGGTTTGGGTCTTGAAGCTGCCTGGGCTGAGATTCTCAAACTGTGAGTGGCTCCCAGGCACTCAGGGGGTGAGCCTGGCTCACTCTGCTCCTCTAAACGCAGTGACTCCAAGCTGACAGCAGTGCAGTGCTGAGCAGAATTGGGCCCAGGGTCTTTACTTTTGCGTTGCCATTCAGAATTTTCTACCAGTTATATGTTTGCTACGTGTGTATTCTAATAACCTGGCGCAGAAGAAATCTGAAGACCAGCCCTTATTGAACATATATGAAAGTCACATCACAACATCATATAGTCTTGCTGGAGCAAATAATTAAAAAAAAAAATAATCAGCTTGAGATAAATGTTTATAAAAGTAGCACAGCTGCACATATTTGTTACAAATGCAAGACAGTACTGAAACTTTCTTAGGACTAACCCTTTAGTGTCTCTATGACAGCACTAAATTTAAATAAAAAGTGCCAAAATTATGATTGTTTTTTTAACAAATCAATTCTTGTCACATCTTCAGGCTGTTCTACTGCTTAGAGTATTTGCTACTGTATCTAAAAATATGTATATATTCCTTCCCATGCACATTTACAGCATTTTGGGAAGTTTTCTGCTAAAACACCACATTACAGTATAGTCAAATAATAACTATTCATGCATTTTTTTGATTACAGCATGAGAAAAAATAGATTAGATATCAGAAGAATGCCTTAAAACTGTGGTGAGAAAGGCAATTACTGTTAAAATGCACAGATCCTATAGGTTCTTTTGAAGCAGTTTGAAACATTAGTAGCTGTCTACAAGAAAGAAAAATAGCATTTTTCTTTTACTATGGCATCTTGCTACTTTGGCAAGTAAGATAAAATATATTAGCCATTCCATCAGATGGCTTGAGAGAAAAACTAACTGCGATCAGGCAAAACGAATTAGAGGAGCATTAATAAAGATTACCAGCGAAAGAAAATAAGGTCAAAATTAGAACTCTGCATTTTAAAGCCACCTCTCAAAAATGCAAGCTGCTTTGCCCAACGATAAAATCCATTCATTTTCCTAATCATGCAATCTACCAATCTCCATTATCTCCAGCTAGCTAGCTATAAACATGCTATAGACCAGAGTGAAAGAGGGAGAGTGTGAGGTTGAGAGACGGAGAGAGAGAGAGAGAGAGAGAGAGAGAAAGAAAGAGATTACTACACCCAGCCTTTTATAAAGCCGTTTCTTTCATTATAACAGGTCTTTTCATCAAAATGACACAGAACCTTTAAATTTGGGCATAATAGTCCAGTACAGTACACAGCTATAGCTTAAACGTGATTTAGAACCTGCTCCAGAAAGAAAACAAACTCCCTCGTTTGACACACAAATTGTTTACGATTCATTAAAAAGCAAAATTGCATATCACAGTGCTGGCAGCTGAGTCCATATGGGTGCAAGGGGTATTCACTCATCTCTTTGTATGCTGGCAGTACCAAACTGAAGTTTAGCACTATGCAGCTGAGATTTTGTGCAGCCAGACGATGCATGAGGTAATTTTAAAAGCTTTATTTGTCTTTAAAACATTAAGATTGGCTCTCTAGCTAACTTTTGATTAAAAGAACGTGGCAAATGTGAAGAGGTTTGGGGGTAAGGAAAATAAGATATATCTACTTTTTGTCGTATGTTTTAGATTCACAGACTGCATGAAAAACTGCTTATTACTCCATCAATAATTGAAACTTTGTATGAAAATTATTTGCAATTAACGCATCTATTGTAAAGAACTTGAATTATTCATTTGTGTTAAAAATAACATCTCTTTCATCTGGCGCAACTCCTACCACAAAAACAAGGCTATTTTAGTGGGGGTTTTGTTCTCTTAGAAAATAAATGGTGTGACGTTCAAGTTTAAGAAGAACTTTTCGGCAATGTTTAATCTAAACAACAGCATGTGTGGTTATAAAACTGTTTATTTTTAGGCAAGTGCATTACTAAATGTTTCCAGCATTTTTACATATTATATTCACGGTACTAAAACATCTGTGAAATAAATGTGACTGAAATGAAACTTCCTCGGATCCTTTCTAAAGGGTGACAATAACTGCCTAGTAGCATTTGAGGATATTATTAAATAATAAACATTGACATACCTCATCATAAAAGCAGCCGATAGAGAATAAAGGAGGAGCGGTAATAAAATATACAGATAGCTAAGAATAAGGCAAAATCACAGCACGAGATAAACGGTGGGTTTAAAACAGGCAGTCTAAAACTTTGCTTTGAAAATGATAACTGAGAATCAATAGACTTATTTACAGGGGTTTAACAAGCTAAAAAAAGTCACATGAATAGTCAACAGTTTATATGCATGCAAATACCCCTTCCCCCTCCAACTTCCCCTGGCAGAAAGTCTAATTGGAAAATCAGTACTATAAGAAAGTGGTTAGCCTCCTCTATCCTTGTTAACCAAAAGCTGCATGTTACATTTCTCTGGCAACCGCTGGCAAACCTCTAATAGCCGGTTAAAAAATTAAGACTTTAGACAAAACAAAACTGACAAACCCGAGCCCAAACACCTTTAAATACAAGCCACATGATATACACAATGGCCACCACCAAGCTGCAGAATAAAAACCTTCCGGATCTCACTTTTAAAAGTCTTTCAAGTCCTCAGAGGTCTTAAACTTTCCAAATGATACCAAAATTGGTCCGGGGCGGCGAGGGGGAGGGAGAGACCCGGCTTGTTTCAGCGTATCTTACAATGAAAGTGATCATGCCTTGTTTTGTAATTCCACTCGCCGGTCCTTTTTTAACTGATATCTATGTGAAACGAGCTGAGGTTCACGGTCCAGTTAGGAGCGGATAATACATTCATTGTCCTGGCAGCAAACTTTTCCTCTCACTGGAAGAATTCACGCTTGCCACAAGAATAATAATTACAGAAAACTAAAAATGCGCTGCTAACGAATTAATCCCTAACGGACAACACGCTAACGAGGGCAGTAATGATTTGAGGACTCTCTTCCTCGCAACAGGACTTGCATCTTCTGCCACAATGGGCTATTGTGCATCCTCCCAACTCACCCTACCTCTTATAGATTCAAGATGTCAAAGGTTGTCTGGCCCGGCTGACCATGACATGCTAGTTAACTCGTTCTACGGAGCACGTTGGGACTTTATTGAAACTTTAATTGCGCCCCAAAGCAGTCTGAGCTGGGCTCAGTGGGATCTGTGACACATGGCTCCAGGTCAGCGAAGCCCCGTAACCTGTTCTCACGTAAACAAGCGGAGGGAGAAGTGAGAGCGGGGTCTGTGGCAGCACCTCGCAAAACGCGCTCCCCGCACACGTGATGGTTTTACACCACGACACTCCCGCACCGGTCCAGGCTTTTGCAGCCACCGACTCGCTCTGCAGCGGAATGAACTTTCCACCTCCCCTCTTTACAAAATATTGCACGGTAAAAAACGCACATGCACACGGACGCTTGAAAGCAGCAGATAAAGTAAAACAAAGTGAGCGCTAGGCAGCCGGCTGTGACAAGTTACTCTGCACAAGGCTTTTGCAAACTACTTCTTTGCATGTTTTTTGTTTTGTTTTGTTTTGTTTTTTCTCCTCTTTAAGGAGAATTGAAAAAGCTTCCCTGTGGAAACTGCAGTGCACATTAACGGTCTCCTGTTACACAGGGGAAAGCACACAAGTGGGACAAGTGTGAGGCTGCTCTACTGAAGAGTGTGAAAAAAATCAAATGTTAATTTGATAAATGTGAGGTCTGGGACATTTTGTCAAAGAGGGAGGGAAAGTAGAAAAGGGAGAAAAAAAAAGCAGCCCTGCTGCCAACTCACCATCCACCAAGTTCTGGCCGAGATGTCGTAGCAGAGCTGCCATTTGATGGAGCCGTCGGAGGTTTTCCCTGCCATTATGCTGTCAGCAAGCTTCATCTGATGCTAACTCACGGGAGATAAGACACCTAATTGAGAAAACATTTGCACTGGCATGTTGGGCAACATGTAGCCCGGTCCATACCATATGGAATCATGGGTAAAAAAAAAAAATCTCCTTGACAATGAACCAATCTCTCACAGACCCAGTGGCAAGGTGAAGTGGAGATGAAAAGTCATCTGCTCCCAGCACTGTCTTCTCCTCTCTCTCGCTCCCTCTCTCTCCCCCTCTCTCTCTCTCTCTCTCTTTTTTTTTTTTTTTAAATAAGAACCCACTGCTCAACATCAAAGAGAGGCGGTCAAAATTAGGGCTTCATCACTCAGATGATTTTGGTCTGCAAGGTTTTTCTTTCCTTTCCTCCTTTTCCTTTTTTTAAGAAGAATAAAGAGATTTAATAGGACAAAGGCAGGTAGTGGACTGCGGAGGGAGATCGCCACAGGCTATTAGCCTAAAATTTCTGCTTGACAGATGGAACTGCTTAGAGACTATCATGCAATGTTTTGGGTATTTTTTTTTCTTTTTTTTTTTTTGTGTGTGTGTGTGTGTTAAAAAAGAGTTTCAGTTTGATTCAGTATCTGTTTATCGCAGCTACTTTTCTCATGTATGTGAGCAGCAAAAAAAAAAGAAGACTGAGCAAAAAACAATTGCATCTTTTTCATTCTTTCATAACTATGCATAAAATCATTTAACCAAAATAAAAGTAGAAACTGGTCAAGTTTATTCCTTGATTGAGAGGAGCTTGCTGAAGAAATCAATTGCTCTTTATTTATTTATTTTTTTTAATAAAGGAGACAGAAAAGTTTTGGCTCTTTGTTCCTTCTTGATTTTAGATACCAGATCTTATTATTTTAAATGAATGACTTTTCATCAGAAGGTTCAAATGGCAAAAGTGCTCCGTAAGAGCTAAACTATTCCCTTCTTGTCTTTTTTAAAAACATATATGTTTAATATTTTTTTAAATATATTTTTGCTACTATATATTTTAAAACTTGTTTTCAACATTACACTTCTTAACACTGGGTCATAACCATCCAAAGCCTCACAGAGGTTTGTTCCTTCCTCCCACAAAACACAGTGCTCTCTACAAGGTTCATTGTGCGAATGAGGAATTGACAGATCACTTGGAAAAAAGACAACTGCACAATAAACAGTTCTGAAATGTTACAAAAACCTGGTAATGTTCTGTAATAAAGCCCCTTCCTGGAAAATCATGTACAAGACAACTATGTGCTCTCCCACCTCTGGTGGGGCACTGTAAAACAAAAGTATGACTTTATGACAGCTGAGCATTAAAGAGGCAACAAGCACTTTCCATTTGCAGCGCCTGGCTGACGCGCAGGGAGCGAGGGATGCCCGGCTCTGCCAGCCCTGGGGAGCACAGAGCACAGCACTTCGACCTCTGCAGCAGCGCCTTTCCTCAAGTGCTCAACAGAATCAACTTCTGCACCGGCAAGGAGACTCACCCGGAATACTTCCCAAGTCTGCTGAGCTGGGGCTGATACAACCAACTCACTCCCTCAAAGAGCCACACTCTGCAAATCTTTTGTGATTTGCATGCAAAAGGAAAATGCAACAAAAATATCCACTCTATTTTAAACAATATCTATTTCTGTTTGTATCAAAAAAGGAAGCTCGTGGGCGCACAATTCTTCATTTGATTGTTTGTGTGCTATCAATTGTTTAACTATTTGGCTGCAGCAAAGTTGTAATTCCAGGCGGCACAGATCACAAAACCATCATTCAGTATAGGACAGAACCAACTTTCATCGAGCTTCAAAACTACCTTCAGATTTCTGTGATGTGCAAGATAAGCAAATGACTTAAGCATAAAGTACAAAGTGCCAACATAACATTCAGGGATTCGTTTTTCATTTTGCCCTGACTTTATCTATGGAGGCTGCACAGAAAAATAGCATTAGAATATAGTCTATGCAACTACTTCACATCCCATCCCAGTTTTTTGTGGGATTTTTTATTTATTTTTATTTTTATTTTTTTGGCTTTGGATAGCAGGTCACTGCTACTTACAGTAATGGTCTGACTAGCATGGGAAGTGTTAAGTTTTAGTCAGCGTCCATAAAAAACCTCAGAGGCTGTGCCAGGAACTGTCCTCACACTGGCCGGCCAAAGCATTTATCTTCTTCTCTTACTCCAGACTCAGCAGAGCTACCTGTCCTGTGTGGCTGCTGCTTACTGCAAAAGCTCTCTCACAGTAATCGTACAAAATAAAAGTAAAAAGCTTAAGTAACAACCAGCCTTTGACCAAGCGTCAAATTCAATTTTATGTCACTGCATTTGCTCCTGCCTCTCTAAACAAACAACTTACCCACCCTACTTATAATTTATTCAGTATTTTATAGCCAGTTGTGCTGCGTGCCTTCCCTGTCAAGTTCTGATGAATCTCTGTTCGGTCTGTATGGCTTTCCACTGTCTGATGAAGTTATAGATCTACTGACAAACTTTCTCTTGATTGCTCTATTAACCACTGCTTTGAGAGTACTTAGGTCTTCCTATACCAATACATTACTTGGCTTCAGAATATTAATTAAAAACACACTGAATAAACAGTTTTTCAGAAGAGCATACACTTTTCAGCTTATGAATGACAGAAGCATGAAACCATTTCCTTCCTGACAGTGTAGCACTTATGTGCAAAGAAATGAGGAGTGCTGTTGGTTAACTGTGTTTTAAATTCAGAACAATTAGGTGCAGTTAACTTTGCCATTGTTCTTTCCGATGCTGAGGATGGTGGGTTCTTACCCATGGAGCAATTATTCCTTTCATAAGCTGCTGTTGTTAATAGCATTAAAATGAGATTAAATACAACATGTTAAATATTGCAATTATTGTGGAAAATAAAATTATTTGGTGAGCATAATGGGGAGCAAATCAAGCATTTAACATGATCCAGGAAATGCTACTCCAAACAATTGCATTTGTTTTATGCAATTTTTCCCCTTTGATTGCTGACAGATGCCGTTTTGGAAACAAACATCTAAGTAGTTTTCCTTCAATCAGGAAAAAAACCACACACCAGAAAATGGCTACATGTTTTGAATTTAACTCTTGTCAATCAGCATTCTGCACAACACTCACTGTGAATAGTACTAGGACAAAACGATGCCTTCCAACGACTAATAAGCCACAAAGATGTGCGTTTCTAAATCAGATCTGATCTGATAAAAGAAAAAGCTTTCACGATGCATGGACATTCATGCAGACACAGCTGCAAAATATAAATGCCTGCAATCTACAAATGATACTTCAAGTTGGAAATGTTAGGTATATGTGTTTTTGGGCTACAGGGGAAGAGATTTGTTTTCCGACAGCTTTAGGCCTGAAGGAACAAATTCACATACTTGCCAGTTGCTTTCTGACTTCCTCCTAGAGAAGTGGCCAACTATCCACAAATAAATGTGCTTATTTGCTGAGCAGACCTACCTAACGCGGCACAAACAGCACAAGCATGCCTCCCTGCATCTGCCCTCGGCAGCACATTTGGGTGAGATCATTGTTGCTATCAAGTGTACGGAACCCAGGAGCGAATGCTAAAAAAGGCTAATAACATATATATATTAATTCAGATGACTCTATCAAGCTGGCATTTTACAGTCTACTGGAAACTGAACGCATGAGAGCATTAGAAACATTGGCATAGCGGGCGCTTTCTCCAAATGTTGGCTTCTACTATTCACGTTAGTAAAAGAAACCCGGCAGAACAGTGTGCAGCTCCGAGTACCAGACACAGCTTTAGGATGTCAGTACTCTTTACTAGAATACCTATTAACAGCATTGTACCTGCTGCTCATTAACACTTTTTTATTCCCTTTACCCTCCCTTATTTCTGCAATGGGAATTGCTTAGGACTTTTTTGGAAGATTACAACTGTATGATTTTAGATCTGTTCCTAATTTGGAAGGCGTCTTCCTTGGGAAGTCTGTACTTAGATGAGTTACGAAGAGGATTTCCTTATCTCGAACAGTGACAATTAGTTCAAGTGCCATGTGAGAGCAGGCAGTCAATTTTTGGACAGCCTCTGAACTAATGCAAAGTTGCTGACAATGAATGCGTGTTCTAGCTTTTGGAAATCCTATAATCCTGGCTTCAATCAAGAGGATCTGCTGTTGCTAAAGGCGTAAACAAGAGGAGAAGCAGCATGTGACCACTGCACCTTCAAGGATTCTTGAGCCAACAGTAAAGCTTCTGCTGGGCACTTGAGGTGACACACACATTTTGGATTATCTTACTGAACCCAGGGAAGAAAGTTCTTTCCCCTCCCCAGGAAAGTTGTCTTTGGTCTTTGCATTTCCCCTGTAGGTCTGTTGTATGTAATTCCCTGCATTTTCCCCTCACTACTCTGATTTGCTTCCTGCCATCTGCATTCCCTGTTTTGCCTCATCTGTAACAAGCACTGAGATCCTGCTTCTGGCAGTATGGACACACGGACATCAGAGATGATGCTGTGACTTCATGACTGAAGGAAACAGGAGGAGGAGCAGCTGAAAGGAGGGAAGGAGAAAGAATGAGACACACAAACATTTCAAATAAAAAATTCGTCTCTATCAACCTGAAATGTAAAGGAACACAAAACAGTTATATTTTGCAGTTTAAATATAACCAACTATTTCCTAATCTGTGGCCATAACTCAATGGCACGGCTCACCATGCCCTCCAGCTGAGAAGCACCAGCCCTAGCAGGGTGTTCTCTGCTGGCTCCAGGCTGTGGGACAGCCAGCCCGACCTCATTGAGAGGAAAGGCTTAATGCTCAGACCTGGGAGAACCCTTCAGAGGGAAAGAAGGACTTCTGCCCCAGAAATAAATAAATAAACATTTTAAGTCAATGCAAATTCATAGAAAGTGAAAGTATAAATCTAAACTACAACGTTTGCTTTGATGCTGCTGGATCAAAGCTATTACTACCCTACTTAGGTGGGAATGCAGGATGTTTCCTCTACAACCTGAACTATTTATTTTAGTTCTGACATAACAGGGCATTTAGAAGATACAGGTTTCCTACCATCTCCATA